ACTTCCGGGGCAGGCGGGGATCAAACTCATGTAGAAGTGGCTTTAGCTTCTTAGTGCTGTGCTTTAACCCACTGTGCCACCAGGGAGGGCCCTCTTCAGCAAATCTTATTCTCACCATCTCCACCATTGAGGCCCTCAGGATTTTAAGGAACTCGTACCTATTCCTTCCCGGGTACTTCAATTGTTTGCTTCATTCTATGTTTGCTGTTGTCATTTCTTAATAGCTTCTTGTTCTTTTCTTCTACCATGATTTGAAAAGACACTGACTGACCTCTCCCCCCATCCCCTGCTCACCTCTGTCTGTCATTTCTGATGTGCCATCCTCATGCTGTATCTATGGCAGCTCTAGTTGCTGAGTCTTTAAACTTGATCCTCTAATTCTAGGTCACTTTTACCTGTTTCTATTGCATATAAAGAAACGAGTCAAAAGGCTAAGATGTGGTGGGAGTCCAAACAACACACTGAAACAGAACATCACAAAGTCTACAAAGAAAAAGGCTGGAATATACTGTGCACACTCAGCACATTTCACTGACTATATGGTTAAGTATGGTTTCTCTGTGTGTTTTGGAGATGGAATCACTCCTTCTGTTAGACGGAGGGTTTGATGTAATAAATGCTGCATTCTGGATTCACCAGCACCTGTCACACAAAGAGAAAAGGTGAGTTTCATTTCCTGGTCAGGCTCTCCTGGTCTACCTTCTGTAGTCCAGGGCTCAGATATTCTGACACTCCCTGCTTGGGAATTGCAAAGATCTTCTCCTTTCTCATTATACTTCAATCACTGTACCTCTCTGTTGCCAGAATGTCCCATATACTTCCCTACTGTGAAGGACACACTCTGAGGTACCCCCTATAATCTCTACCCCCAGATAGTCACTTTGTTATCCCCCTTTCTTGAGAGCAAGACCTATGAGTTGAATCTAACCACTAGAATAATGGCAAAAGTGACAGGGTAGACATGACTGCATGTCCGTGCTTCTGTTACGTAATTCCAAGACTTTTGACTTTGAAGAAGCAAGATGCTATGTGAGTTGCCTGTGAGGAAGGTCACATGGCAGGAGGTTGAGTTTGCCCTCCAACTGACAGCCACTGGGAAAGAGGCCCTCATGACAGGCTGCAAGGATAAATGTTGCCAGTAACCCCACGAGCCTGGAAGTGGATCCATCCCCCAATGGAGCCTCAGGTGAGGCTGAGGCTTTAGCAAACACCTTGATAGCAGAAGATACATCTAAACAATTCCTGGGCTTCTGACCTACAGAAGTAAGATAATAACTCTGCTAAGTTTGTAACAATTTGTGAATATGCAAAAAATAATGGCTTAACCCACCTCAGAGCTTTTCACACGATGTCCCTCAACTTGGAATGTTCCACTGCAGACCCTCTGCATGGTTCACTCACCCCTTCACAATGTAGCAGGCCCTGAGTTGATTGACCTGACAGCTTTCCCCCAAAATGTCTCCCTTGTCTCCTTCTATTGAATAAGAAACTAGGAAGGATAATACCTCACTTTCTCAGTTCAGTCGTGACAGCATTCTGGCCAGGGAGATGTACAAGGATGTTGGATGAGTGAGATTTTCTGGAAGAGCTATTGCTCTACTGATAAAAGGCAACAAACATGGTCCCCTTCCCAGACCCTGATGAAGAGATCCTCAGAGGCTAAACATGTACAGTTTATAGATGACCAGAAAGTTGACAAACTTACAAATAATCCATACAATTGCCCAACCAATCTGATTCTCCTTTGGCAAATTTAAACCTGGAGACCCTATACAGGTAGAGGATGTTGTTATATGTAACTGGAAGTTATCAAGGAGCAGTGACCAGAAACTTGTATAGGAACTCAAACTGGACTGAGAATGAGTGAAACATATTCATAATCAACAAAAATGAGCAACCAGGGGCTCTCCCTAGTGGCGCAGTGGGTTAAAGTGTAGCACTATGAAGCTCTCCAAAGTCACTGCAGCACAAGTTCAATCCCCAGCCAGGGAGCTGACCCACATAGTGTGACAGACCTCTCCTGACCTGCCCACTGCTCCCCTCAGCAATATATTTCAGTTGATCTGCCTGTTCTGCTCCCATTCTCTCACCGCCCCCCCACCCACCACATACCTCTGGCCTGTACCTATATAAATATATCTTTAAAAAAAAAATCAGTGACCACATGAAAGAGAACCGTGAGGCCCACAGGTTATTTCAGAAATCTAGCTAATCAAGATTCCCTAGTATTCTCCTAATGAATTTTCATTTTGCCTGAGTTAGCTTCAGGGGATTTGTTTCTTAGTGAAAAATGCCTCAGGTAAGTAGGACATTTTCATTTTCTGGTTTGTTATTTGGGCTTAAGTTTGTCACCTTCTAATGTATCCTTCAAGGTAACTGATCTGTCTAGAACTGCAGGAAACATTTGTCCCTCTAAGTCAGCACTTCACTAAAACATTAGCATTTTATGTCCCTAAACTTTGTCTTTTCTGAACACAACAAAACACTGTCAATAGGACATAGATTGAGCTCCTGCTCTGGCCTCCCTGTTCAGCCTCCCTTTGGTGGGTAAGTTGTATTTGACACTTGACTCCTTCACAGTATGGCATCTACAGTCTATCCCCAGACATGGAGTGACCTGGCCAGTCCTGACCTACATTCTCTGAAGTAATTTTCTAACCTTTAGAACTAAGGAACCATCACCTGAATTATCTGAACTTGATATAGGAAGCTTTGCTTATACCTGGATGAGCTACTAGCTTATTTCCCTATGGATAATGAAATCACACCTCTTTATTTGGCCACCATGAAACTCAAGGACAAATAAGTATAGGGACATACCACATAGGTCCAACATATTTTTACTTTTTATCCATATGCTGACTTTCTATTACTATTTAAAATTACCTTCCTGTTTGTGGTTCTTATTTTGAATTTGGCACCCTTTTTGTAGGGTAAAATTAACCACATGGTGTAAACTGCCACACATCTCCCATGAGAAAACTGCAGGGAAGTAAAAATAAAAGAAAGTAAAAGATGGGGTGGGGGGAGAGGAAATTGATTAAAAAGGAATAGAATGTTTAGAAATACAATTGAAAGGGATGGAAGAGGCAAGAATGTAGAGAAATTGAATAAAACAAGAAGGGATATAACGGAGATTAAAAGCAAAGCATGACATAGAATAAAATGGCATTGGGTCCAAAGAAAATGAATGAAAGGAAAAGAAAAGAGTGAAATCTGGCATGAAGCCGGAAGGGGAATGGAGAAGTGATGTACAGGAACAGAATGGAAGAGCGTGGAAAGAAAAGAACTTAATAAAAGATATAACAAAAAGCGGTGCAGTGAACAGGAAAAAAGGAATGGAGAAGAAATTACTAAAAAGTAATATGACAAAGGAAAACAGGGGAATTAAAGAATGGAAATGAAAGAACGAAATGAAGAATTACAAAGGGATGGATGAAATGCTGTGGTATCTAAGGTAACGAAACGGGATGGATAAAATTGCCGTGAAAGGGGACGAGAAGCACTGGAATGAAACTGCAGGGATGCACATGAAGTGGAGAAGGGTGGGGTGAAAGGTCAACGGAAGGCAAGCATGAAGTGGGAGGAGCAAACTAGTGGGGGATGGTGGGGGATGGAATGACGCGCAGCAGGAGCGATGGGCCACGGCTACAGAGGACCGAAGAGGGAGGAGGGCAGCCATGGACAGCAGAGGATGAGAAATGAGTGGGAACAGGAAGGGGAAGTGAAGGGAACAGAGAGAAGGCCCTGAACGGAAACGTGGCCGGAAAACATACACACAACGAGAAGAAACCGAACCCAGGGCATGAAATGAAAACCAACCGAATGGAAATGAGCGCACACAGAAGGGGGAGTAGAAAGGAATGGTGTGGTGGAAGAATGAGTTAAGTAGAGATGGAAGGAACAGGAAGAAATGGGACGGGAGGAGAGAATGGCAGTGAAATACAGTGAAGGGTGGGGCTGGAGTAAGAAGCAGAAGAGGAGCTAGGGGAATGTGGGAGAAGAGTGCAGTGGACGTAAAAAACGCTAAAGCCAGTGGTCAGGATGAAAGGGCTGGAGTAAGGGATGGAAAGGAATACAGCGGCTGCAGTGAAGGGGGTGGAGTGGAGGGAGTGATGGGGATGAAAGGAGCAGAGTGGGAATAAAGGGATTTTATGGAGAGAAATGGAACTAAAAGATGTGGAGTGGGGATGGGAAAAGTGGAATGGAATAAAATAAAATGGAGTGGCAGGCCGAGGATTGGAGTAAAGGAGGCCCGCGGGCCCTCCCCGGTGGCCGCAATGGGTTAAAGCGCAACTCTGCAAAGCTAGCCCAGGGATCCCCATCCCCCCTCACAGGGCACACCTTTCCTTTTTCGCCCTGCTCCCCTCAGCAGTGTACTTCCTGATCTGCCTATTCTGCTCCCTACTCTGTCTCTGGTGAATCTTCTCACGGACCCTCCGCGTCTGGCCAGTACCCCAGTTCTGTATGCATAAATAAAATTCTAAGTCTTTAAAAATAAAGAAAGAATGAAATGGAATAAAGTTAAGTGGCTTGAAAGAAATGGGTGGAGTGAGAAATAAATAGGATTGAAATGTGTGGAATGGAGTGGACTGGAAGGGAATGAAATGAACTAGAAAACGATAGGCTGGAAATGAAGAGATTTGAAAAGATGTTTAAGGGAGATTCTTGATGGTTTATCCTCCAGACTCCAGCAGGGAGAAAAAGGCAGATGGGTGCCAGCTCCTGACTTGTCCAAAGACTCAATGAGGAAGAAAATACCTCATAGTTTGACTCCGTGTCTCCTTGTGGAGTGGGGGCCACGGCAGGCAACATGCCTTTGGGTGATGGGAATAGCCCCTGGGGGTTGTGGGAGCCAGCTCTTTCTGCAAGCGAAAAGTGAGAACAGCTAGGGTCCACAGACACAGATTACCTGAGATTCTGGAAAATGCCAACCTACATACTTCAGAGACCCAAAGAGGAAGAGATTCACCAGGTCTTACAAAGATCAGAGGCAGAAGTAGGGTTAGGACTCTCCTTGACTCTGACTACCTCTGCAAACTCTACTCCAAACTTCCTTCATGCCCCAGCGCATGCTAGGCCAGTGCCACCTTGTTTTTATTCCAGTGCCAAGAAGCCCTGGCAGTGGAAGCAACATAGAAGAGGAGCCAGAGGCCTAGAACCTGTCCCAGTCCCCCCGGAGGCCATGGGTCACTTCTTCTTCCATACCTGGGGCTACAATGCACAAGGGTTAGATGAGATGGTTTCTCAGATGTGAGGAATACAAAATTCTCAGGTCACATCCCCTCTGTAGCTTCTTGGGTAAAGAAAGCAGGAGAGAAGCCTTGGGCCTCAAGGTAAAGGTCACTTCCAGAAATTTTCAGTAATAGCTTTGGCCTCCCAGAGGAATTCAAGGCTAGTCAATTCCAATTCATCCACAGAGGGTGCTCGAGGTCATCTGAGTCTGAGTTTGGATACAGAATCAGTTGTAACTACAGCAAGTGAAGAGGTTTTCTGTGAGGAAGAAGAGGGTGGTGGCATATTGTCTCATTTTTTTAAATGACTTTGGGAATTAGCAGAACCCTGCAGAGTTCTTGACCCCAATCTCACCCATTTTTCCAGATGGGGACACTGAAGCTTGGAGAGAGCAGGGCCTGCCCATGATCATACAATGACCTGGTGGCAGAGTTGGGAGCGGAAGCCTGGGGTCCCAGCACGAGCCCCTGCCAGCCCTCACAGCTGCCCTGGGCTTCAACTACAGAGTCACAAGAATTGGGTTCAGCAGCATGCTCCTTCTTAGAGGTGGGTGTCACAGCCTCATGGATGGGTTCCTCTGTTGTTTTCCTTGAGGACCAGAAACCCCAAAGCCCTCACTCTTCTGTCCTTGCACATCTGCCCAGGCCTAGGCCCATTCTTGGGTAATACCCTAATTCACTGAGTCTCCCCCTCCTTTTCTTAAACACAACACAGCACCATGGTCAGTGACACCCCTCCCAGGGACCAGGCAGGTCCCAGGTGTGTCCCACGCACACCCCATCCCAGCTTACCTTCTGGTATTTCTGAAGTAGAGGAAGCAGCCCAGCCCTGTGGCCAGGGTGAGGATAACCACAATCCCAATGACAATGCCGGCCAAGATCCCTGTTGACAGGGACGACTGGGAACCTGGGCAGGGGGAGAGAATCAGGACCCAGGCCTGGTTCAACCTCATGCCTGCACCCAGTCCCCTCCATTAATTTGTGAGTTTATCTCATCTGTCATTTGATGAGCCCTTGTTTTCCAGCAACTGGGCAACTGCATTTTGTGGCGAGGATGCATCATTTTTGGATGGCCTAAGTTCACCTCTCAGCTGAGTGACCTTGACTATGCTGCTTAGCCTCTCTGTACCTCAGCTGGTCTATAAAATGGGGATAATAGTACCTACTTCACAGAGTTGCTGGACAGATTAAATACAGATCTATTCATATTCAAGAGAAGTTATGCTCAATATATTTCACATAGGTCAAGTGTTTAGGCCAATGGAGCGTGGTCAGTAAATGTTGATGTGATGATGACACTGATTAGGATGATGGCTGAACTATGACTTCCAGCAGAAAGGTCTTTGCCAGTCAGACACCTGGCTTCCACCCAAGTGAGTCGTCTTTGATTCCATGAGGCCTTATAGCCATGGACAAATGACTTCCCTTTCAGAGTTTCACTTCCTCATCTGCAAAGTGAGGGAGATGGTAATCACTGCTCCAGGTTGTTGTAAAGAGGAAGTGAGAAGTGAGACTGTGCATGTTAATTCGGGGTACCCAGTAGGTGACCAATAAACAGCAGTTGTTACATTAGCGCTAGCCTGCTGTTTTCCCTCCCCACTTCTTCCCAGAACCTTTCTCAAAGGGCTGAAGTCCAGCCCACTGGGTCAGAGGTTGAAGGAAAGGGTTCTGCTTTAAAGGGCGTGAGAGGAGGCTTCCAGGGTGCTTAGTTCCATTCTCAGAGCCTCCGTTTCTGATATACCAAACAAGCATGTAATCCCTAACCTCAGAAGCTCTTAGTGCGATCGGGAATAAAAGCACCAGCACAAACACCTGCTTGTACTTGGCAAGAGGTGCTGCTGCAGATGTGAGGAGATGATGATGTGATGGTGGAGGCTGCCATCTACCAAGCCCCAAGCTCCAGGATTCCTTCATACAGGTCTCCCCTAAATCCTACAACACCCCTGTGAACATCAGCCAAACTCACTGCTTTCTTCTCTAAACCTGTTTCTCTTCCTTCAATGATCTTCAGACCTGAGGGTTGTTACAAAGATTAAGTGAGGTAATGTGGGAAGCCACGTTGGTTTTCTACTTAGTGGGAACTGAAAACACTGCTCTTGAGGTGACCAACTTCCATCACTCCTGTGGGAAGGGAGATCCCAACAGGCAGAGTACCCAGGCATGTCTGCTGATACTGTGTCTGGAAAGGTTTGTTTCAGACACCCGGTTCAAGCTCAATAAATAATAATTTTGTTTGCCTGATAGACACAGATATGCCAGGCACTACAATAAGAATGTTATGAATATTAACTAACCTGCAGCGACCTTATTGTAGAAGACAAGTAGGGTGTTTATTTTACAGACAAGGAATCGGAGGCCCAGAGAGGTGGAGCAGCATGCCCAAGATCACACAGCTAGTAAGCACTGGAGCCAGGACATGAACCCTGGTTAACAGCGTCACTGCACTGCCCCCTCTTACTACTTCTAGACAGAAATAGGGATGTGTCGCTGTCACACCCAGTGGTTATGGATATATTTCTTGAGTCCTCCAGTGGTTTACTCCTCTCGAGGATATTACCCCAAACCCTACTCACTGTATGTAGCATCACATACCCCCTTTACAATTAGGAAAACGGAGGCTCAGAACAGGCTGGAGAGTTTGCCAGGACACACAGGTAGGAAGTAGATTCTAGAACATTCAGGGGTTGAGGCAGGGGAAAACCTGGATTGGAAACCTGTCCATGCAGTGCACTCTCTGCACTGGGAGAGCAAGACTAGGGCCCCTGGAAGGCATCAGGAGAAGTCACTTGGGGCCCAGGTTGGAGTGAGGGGGTGTATCTAAGAGACCCACCTTTTGCTCTGACCAGGACAGAGGCGGTCAGGTGTGTCAGAGGGTTGGAGACCGTGCAACTGTAGACCCCCTGGTGTTTCTGGGACAGGACCTCAATGATGAGCAACTGTCCTGCATACATCATGGTTGAGTGTTCAAAGGTCCAGTGATACTCGGGCGTGGCTGAGACTCAGCCCAGCAACACAGGGTCAGGCTGGGTTGAACTCCACCTCCACAAAGCTGACCACCTCAGACACCAGCCCTCTGGTGATGTCCACTTGGTTCGGGCCATCTGTGTGCGGAGACAAAAATTCTCTAGGCATCTTCCCCTGGCCAGTTGACCAAGCCTACCCTGTTGGCTTCCACATGGGATGTCCTCCTTTATTTTTTTTCTTTCATCTTTTTCTAACTAAGGGAATTTCAGACTGTGGTCTGAAAACAAAGACTCTTCTAACTGCTATTGAAAGGAAGCTCAGCCAGATAAGGAGGAGGAAATACTCTCTTTTTTCCTCAGCTGCCTGGTGAGCAGACTGTAGTCCACACCATGGATAATAGATAGAACAAAACATAAACCTATATATATATATATATATAGGTTTATGTTTTGTATGTTATGTTTTGTTATATATATCTTTTATGTTTTGTATGTTATGTTTTGTTATATATGTTTTGTTATATATATATTTTGTTATATATATGGATATATATATCTCCATCCTTGCAAATGTGAATGCTAACAGAGCTTCAGAGGACAACTAGGCTTAGACCTTGTCCTCTACCCTGTGATCGTAGCCTCTAGATTTCTGAGAATTTACTGTTCTGATTGGATGTCTTACTTCACAGCACAGAACCCTGTAATAATCTTCAACTTGACATCTGTAGAGATACTTGCAGATTTTTTGGTAAAGCCGCTTCCTGCCCATGCTCTGATTATCCATGGAATCCGTTTACTTCTCCCTGTCCTAAATGCTTGGTCACCAGGGTCCCCTCATGTGGCCCCTCTTGATGGCCCCTCCCCAACCTGGCCTTAATTTCCCCACACAGCAGCCAGGGGAGTCTTCCTAAGTCCAAACTGGACACTAGCTCTCTTCTGTTCAGAGCCCTCTATGGCTCCCCAGTATCTTTGGAACAAACCTCACAGTTGACAAATCCATTCGCAATCTGGCCCTACTTGAGTCCCTTCCAGCCCCATCCCTCAGCTCTCCACACCTCCCATTCTCAATCCAGAAATAAGATTCTGCTCGGAGATCCAGTCCTGGTCTTGCCACAGAGCCTTTGCACATTCTCTTCCTTCTGCCTGCAATGCTTTTCCTTGGATCTCCTCAACCTAGCTAACTCTGCTCATCCTTAAGATCTCAGGGTAGAGAGACCTCCTGCACACTCCAGACTGGGCGGAAGTTTCCTTTGGGCTTCCCAAATCCTCTCAGCTTTCACCCTGGTGGCTTCTATTTAATCTGCCTATTCACCTCCCTGTCCCCAGCAGGCTGTGAGGCTGAAAGTCATGGCCTTTATCAAGTGCCCAGCATAGTGCTCAGCATAGAGATGGCTTAATGACTGAAGAAGGAAAGAGGAAAAGCAGTAGAAGGCATGAGTTTTATATGTTGTGTATCTGTGTCATTGTGTGTTGCATGTGAGACACGTGTATCCATGTTTTGTGTGTACTGCATGTGTCATGAATTTATAAGAGTGTGTGTGTGTGTGTGTGTGCTTTGGGTGTATGTGTTGTATATGCAAAGTGTTGTGTAATGTGTGTGTGTGTGTTTTGTATACCTGTAGAGTGCATAGTTTATGTGTTTCTGTGAGTGTTGTCACATTTGTGATGCTATATCTTATGTGTTGTGTTATATGTATTGTGTGTTGTACACACACGTGAGTGTGCTGTGCATGTGTGATCATTTGTATGTCTTCGTGTATATGGGGTATGTGAGCGTTATGTTAGTGTCTGTCTCTATACAGAATCAACCCCCATTCCCCACATACACACTTCCAGAGCTCAAATCATGGGCATCCCCCAGAAAGCCAGCAAGGGCTCGTGGAGGATGTGCTGAGCCAGGAACAGCTCCATCCTGTGGCCAGCGCCCGTCTCTGCCACCTGCCACACAGGAAATCCATACTTCTTTGTGACACCCAAAATCTAACTGATTCTCAGACAAGTAGGGGAACAGGGAAGAGACTACTGAGGACTCAGACTTCAAAAGCACCCATGTGGGACAGTTTGGTGACACTATTGGACACCAAGCACCTACACACAACCTTATGTACCCTGGATGCAGGGTGGATGGTGAAGGTGCTTGTGGTAGAAAATTGGATGGCGTCATTGGGAAGAAACCAGAAATAGGCAGGGGGTGGGTAAGACTGTGTTTCCACTGAGAAGATCATGGTGGAGCCCTCCATCACCTCAACCACCTTCCCACTGCAACTTAATTTCTGTGGTATCAGGAACATCAACAAGGACAAGCACAACCAAAGCAACAGCTCTCTTAAGGGGACCTAGAAGGTCAAGACAAAATAGCATTTCTCTTCTCCCCACCCAAGGATCAATTACAAAGGAGATGAAGAAATCCAGTGGAGACTAGAAGGGAGTCTTGTCATTGGGTAAAGCAGAACTGGAAGACACATCTTAAGCATGCTGACAACTGCTTTTCCCTCACTCCTACCCAGGCAAGATTTTTAATCAAATATCCACAAGTGAAGAGATGTTAAGCTGGATGTTTCCAATTTGATCCAAGTGGAAACATCAAAGAGTTGTAAGCCTCAAGAGTAGGTAAATCCACATTTGGATGGTATTTAAAGCTGTGAGACATTAGATCACTAAGGAAGTGTCAGTGAGAGGCTGGGGAATATGGAAAGGGACTCACAGTTCACAGTCAGGACGATGGGATCACTGTTCTGGAACTGGACTTCACTCTGGACTCTACATTGGTAAGTCCCGGAGTCTTCTCGCTAGACAGTGAGGATGGTGAGGGTCTTGCCATCTGGTGACAGGTGCACGTGCTCGTGGATCACCAGGGAGAGGTTGTTGGAGATCCAGTGGATGGTAATGTTGACGTCATTGGTGTAACAGTGGAAGCTCATGCTTTCTCTATGCTCTATGACGGAGTCTTGGCTGACTGTAATGTGGGCTTGGCTAGCAGTTCTACAGAAGGAGAAAGAAGAAAACAGGCAGAGACATAGAGGAACACCTGGCAAGAGTTCTAGAGGGCCCAGAGAGACATGGATGGGTTGGAATTTGGAATTGCCAGAAGACATACCATAGCTCAATGATTGGTTTCCAATGCCAGATCTGTTCACTCTAGGTTTGATATTGGCTAAGTTACTTCCCCTCTCTAAGTACCATAGAAAAGGGATTGTACAAATAAAGCAGAGGGTCTAGGACATGACAGATTGGTCCATGAACATCAGCCTCAAAGAGAATCAAGCTTGTAGTAGGGATGCCAGCCAGATTCTCCTACCCACGTAGCCAATCTTCCCCACCACAGCCATGACAGCCACCATACACCCTTTTCCCCCTGCCACAATATCACTGAGCAAAGCAGGGGTTGCCAGACTCTGGCTGAACTAATCAGATCAGTTCTAATGGGGGCTAGAGGTGTGGAGGAAACCCATGCTTTCTGTGCCCACACTTAGAATCTGCCATGAATCTGGGAAGTCCAAAGGGAGTGTCCCAAACATAGACAACATCCTTCTTACTTTGGATGGTGGTAACTAGGTTGGCATCGAGGGTTAGCTGGGCTGTAGATGGTCAACTCCACGTGGTCAAAAGTGAGGCTGGGAGGGGGGAGGATGGAGGCATTCATGGAGGGACAGGTGTGGTGGGGGTGTCCAGTTCTGATCTCCATATGGAGAGAGAGGTCTGCACTCATGAATGTGGCGCTCCGTTGCTAGCAGTCTGACTTCGACCCACTACTCACTGGTCACATGATTTGCAATGTGTTCTTATCATCTCTGAGCCTCAGTTTCCTAACTGTAAAATGGGTATACTGTCACCTGCATCTTGGGGTGTTGTGGAGGGGATATAAATATTGGGGAGTTTTACCTGGATCCCCCAAAGCTGGTATAAATAAATAAAACCTATAAAAAAAAGTTGTGGTTCTTCCCTTTCACGCTCTTTCTTCCCTTTACAACCACAGGGACCCCTGAATCTCTGCATGTCATCCTCCTCATCTGTGCATTATCTAGGGTGCAGAGGTGAGGGAGACACAGGAAGGGTGGAGAAAGCAGCAGGACATTTAGCACGTGGGGGCGGGGAGAAGGGTTAGCAGCAAGTCACAAAGTCAGAGATGAAAATCCAGGGTTCTAAAGAGCAATAAAGTTTCTCAGTGGAGATAATTCTCAAAAGTTTATCTGAAAACCCGATCTCACACACACACAAACACATATATTAGTTTTCTCAAGGAAATTATGTAGTTGAATTACCTTCCCTTTTCTTCATGAGGAACAGCTACCAATGCATCCTAAAGAACTACTGTGGCCTGTGACACAATCTAATTTCTTTAAAAAAAAAAAAGATTTATTTATGCATATGGAACTGGGGTATAGGCCAGAGGTGCAGGGGCAGTGAAAGGCTTCACCAGAGACAGAGTGGGAAGGAGAACAAGCAAACTGATGACATACACTGCTGAGGGGAGCAGCGGGCGGGCCAGGAGGGGTCTGCTGCATCATGTGGGTCACCTCATGGTGACCAGGAAGCCAACTCATGCTGAAGTACCTGCGGCCGGCTTCATAGTGCTGCACTTTAACCCGATGAGCCACCAGGGGGGCCCACAATCTACTTTCTAATTCTCATTTGAAGAAACTGGTTTCAGAAGCACAGGAAAATCCATACTGTGAACAGGAGAAATCAGCACTGCCTTAAGCCAACCATGAATAAAAACTAGCCAGGAGCCCTTGAAAACACAGAACAATCTGAAGGAGAGCCCACTCAGCAAGTGTCATCATTTGGGCAACAAAAAGCAAGAAGGCCTGTAAAATTACTCCTAACACTGGCTGGGGTGAGTAACATGCACAGGAAAAGAAGACGCGTCATTAAATAAGTGCGATTCCAACTTCAAGGGTGAAAAACCCTGGAAAAGTGAAAACAGAAAAGGCAAAGTAAGACAAGAGCAGGAAGTGCAGATTTTGTCAGGAAGAGGAGATGCACTTATTAGCTCAGCCCCAGGGTCTGCACAATCACGGGTGACATCAATGATGCATCTGCTCCACTGTCATTCACATGACACAAGTAAACCATCTCATGGAGGTGTCTGCACGCCCACTGCTCCAAAGAGGCCTTGCTTTTTATGCAGCTGTATCACATTCCCTGGTGGTTGCAGGGAACCTTCTA